TTTTCACCTTTTGGCCATCCCACCAAGCATCTTCTGGGCCTAGTCACTTACWCAGGAAGGAGAGAGATAAAAGAGAAGAGAACAGGAGAACAAAGGAAGCCTAGAACATATAAAAAGGCAGAACACCCTCACTTCTTGGGATACCAGGATACCGGCTATGGCCCCCTTCTCCCTTCTGGGAGAAGTCTATGTTACCCATTTTTAAATATGCTTTACATGCTTGCCTCTGCATGTTTCTCTAATGTTCAAACTTCACCATGTAAGGAAGCAAAACTTATCACTGGTAACTGTGGTATCAGTGTTAGTACTGATGTTCTATAAGGGCATTATACAAGTAAGAATAGTTCCCTATTGCTACTTTGCCGAGGGGATATTTTTCTAAATCATACATTTTGTCAAATGTTCTCTTTACCCTTTGAAATCATTATTTAGAGTTTATTTTTTAGCTTATATAACTGATGACATTCATAGATATTTTTTAGCCATCCTTGAATTCCCAGGATTGATCAAACCTGGAAATGATGTGTGTTTATTATCCTGATAAATTTGATTTGTTAACTAACAAACCAACTCAGCAATGGATAATGGACTTAGACATTTCTCCAAAGATACATAAATACCTGAGAAGCACAAGAAAAGGAGCTCAGCATCACTAGCTATTATGGCAATGAATATCTAAACCCTCTGAGGACTGGGGTAGTAGCTCAGTGGTAGAGCACTTGCCTAGCATGTGTGAGGCTCTGGGTTCTATCCTCAGCACCACAATAAAATAAAGGAATAAATAAAAGTATTCTAAAAAAGCTCTTCATTATTAAAACATTATTCTTCATTATTAAAAACAAACTTCTTCATTATTAAATTCTATTAAAATTTTTCATTTTTAAAACAAAACAAAACAAAAAACTCTGAACCAGGCAAGGTGGCACATACTCAGCGATCAAGAAGCCTGAGGCAGGAGGATCACATGTTCAAGGCAAGTCTTAGCCAAATCCTGACTCAAAATTTAAAAAGAGGCTGAGATGTAGCTCAGTGGTAGAGCACCCCTGCATTCCATTACCAGGACAAAAAAAGAGAGAGAGACAGAGAAATTTAATAAATTGATACTGTGAGTCCCCTTCTAGTTATACATCCAAAAGAAGTAAAAGCAGGCCTCAAATAAGTTGGTGAACACCRAAGTCCAYAGCAATCCCAACAGTCACCAGGCCTCTGACATTCTGGTCAAGTCTGGGCATGCCAATCTATTTCCTGTGTGCCTGCCTGCATCTCAAAGGCTGCCTACCTGTCTACAGTGGCCTTTCTCAGACACCCTGACAGTGGGCACTCTGGAGGTCAATGAGATCACACAACAGTGACCCTAGCCCAGGTCATGGGGTGAAAGAGGTGGGAATCTGGTTGTGCTGAGTGACCACTGTTGCCAGACAGCCTGGCCACAGAGATGGTGGCTTTCTCTGAGGGGCACCGGTTGTGCTCTCATTGGCTTTATCTGGTGTTGGGAGCAGAGGCTCAGTGGTTTTCTATTCCCATGGTCCAATGAATTGTGTGTATGTTGAAGTTCCCCCTCCAGTGGCATTCTCCTGCATCACTTTCACCCTGCTCAGGGTGGTGGTGACTTTGCCCCTGAGGGCTAGGATGCTGGCCTGCTCTAGGTCAGCTTGGAGGTGGGTGGAGCCTAACTCTTCAGCTCTTGCAAAGCATCCACAAGCAAGTTTCCTGCCAAAGTCCCGTTCTACATAGTCATTATTATCCCTAAGTGACATGCCACGATACAGCAGTCAGGCAGGGCAAACTCATGAACAACACATGTCTCTGCATCCCACCAAGAGACATGCCCAGTGCTCACCTTGTCTAGTGAGAAGACGAACTTGGTCACCAGCTGGCCCAGCTCAGGAATCTGGCTCTCGGTCCCCAGGAGCACATGTTCCACAAAGAGTGCAATGGAGAAAACACGACTCCACTGGGTTCTGTCGAAAGAGGGTGTTACACACTCAGCTCCAACAGAGAACTCTGAGACAGGAGGAGGGATGAGAAGGCAGGTGTAAGGCAGCACGGGAAGGCGAGCTGACAGGAGGGATTATCCACCAGCCCTGCCCTCAGCACTCCCCCGGCTCTCCATGCAGGCAGGACTTTGGGTCTCACTTTGCTATCTCAGCATGCTCAGCCACTGTGCTCACTTTCTCGTAATCCTTCACACAGTGAGTTCCTCTTGACCCTCACAGCATAGCACAGGTTGGGACCCTCCCCACCCTGAAGGCCTGCCCTCTGCTTGCCCTGCCTGCCCCTGTCCGTTCTAATGGCTCCCTGCCACCACAGTGGTTCTCCAGGTGCAGCTGAGTAACCTGCCTTTCTGTGGCTCTGGGGCACCATGGCCTCCCTGCACGTGGTTCTCCTCTTGCTCAAGCATCTAACGAGATGCCTGGCACTTGACAGGGTTCATCAAGCGCAGAGTGAGTGCACAAAGAGCCCTTCCCGTGGAAGGAGCACCCACTCACCCTGCTGCCAGGTGTGCCAGGACCTGGAGTCCACTGATGAKCACAGGCCGAGCATGCCAGGGAGAGCCGGGCTCTGGGTCTCACCTGACCTCCACAGTGACAGCTCTGGCTGTGCTCCCACTGCCTCGCAAGTACCCATCCGAGCAGACGAGCTCCAGCGGTATGGACAGCTTCTTCACCAGCTGCAGCCAGGCCTGGGGACTCGGCTTCAGGGTGTCTCTTATCAGCATTTCAGCACAGGCCATTGCAGCCAACACATCTAGTGTCTGGGAAGAGGAGAGTGGTCACATGACCCCACAGGACCCCACCGGCCAGAGGTCCTGGCAGAGTGTGTCCTTGYATTCCAGGCTCATAACCTGCTCCTTTGGGTCTTGGGATAGAGGAAGCACTATCCAGCTGTTCCCAACACCTCTGGGCTAKGCTGACTCCCAGGCCCCTAAAGGATCTCTCCTTGTGCTCCTGGGGACAGGCGCCTCCCGAGGGGGACTGTACCATCTCACTGCCAGCCATGTCGTGCTTCTGTACAGCTTCAGTGAGTCTCTGCAGAACCTGCGGGTGGATGGTCAAGATTCTGGAGAAGTTGTGCAGCCGGGTCTTGAAATGCTGATAGGCCAGGTGCACCCACGGCAGGGAGAGCCCTTCCTCGGGCCTCCCTGAAGCTGCTCGCAGCTCACAGACACAGCACCACAGCGCCATCTGCAGAAACTGGGGTTTTGAAAGGTTTTCAGTATGAACTTTTAAATTATAAAGAGATGTTTTCCTGTGGGAAATCAGAACTATTCAAAAATCACAAAAAAGAGAATTACAACCCAGACTTCCTATCTTCCAACTGCTTTTCAGAAGAGCCTCTAGCCATTTTCCTAGCTGTGCCTTTCCTCAGAATCATCCTCAAWTCAAGATCACTGTGTTCCTGATTTTCTCCACTCAAGATTAGATTATGAGAATCCTCTATCACTCATTATCTGTGCAAACATTGTTTTTCAATGGTTGCAAACAACCATTTTAAAATGGACATACTATAATTTGTCCCTTCTTCATTTATTTGGACACTTAAATTGTTTCTAATTTTTCATGATCAGACACAAAGCAGGAAAACCTTGCTGTGAGCACCTGCCTGGCCTCTGCTGAGCAGCGGTGGGGGGGCAGGCTCTCCAATCACTCTGCCATGTGACCACTGCTCAGCATCTGCCCAGGAAGCCTGTAAGCCCTCCCTTCTTTTTGAAAACTCAGTTTTGCCAGATGAGCAGTACAACTGTCATCTAGAGACTCTCTATGTTCTCTTGAGTCACTGGTAGGGCTGAGCATGTGAGCAAAGCTTTCTAGAAACTTGCACGATTACACCCTGTGCAGCTGGCGTAACTTCTACCCATTTTAAAAATAAGAGTATATTCTGCTCATTCTCCGCAAACTCCTCACTACCCTTTCGTCATGCTGGCTAGAGTATATTCTCTCATATTCTCCACCTTCTTTTTCTGCTCTGCATGTGACTACCAGGCAGCTGGTTTCCATCTTGGGCTGGGCTCTGGCTCTGCAGTCAGCACTTGCCTAGTGGGACTGAGGCTCTAGGTTTTCTCCCCAGCACCCAAAACAAAACCTATCAACCTTTCCACTGAATTTCACTCATTATTCTTACCTTAAGAGGTCAGTTACATATTTATCTTAATTTTGTCAAGAGAAACTCAACAATTTCAAGAGGGTGATACAAGGAATCTGGAGAGCTTCTCAAGGTACTAGAATGTGCATTCCTGGAGGCCTTGGGGAGTGACGAGGATTGGCCCTGTGTTCTGAGCAGCTCAGGGGACATTCTCAGCCTAGCGTTCTGCATGGCTTCATTCTGTTCCCCTACATGGTAGCACTAGCTCTCAGAAGCTGAGTTCCCGTGTTTGCCCCCAGTCCAGACCATGCAATTTCCACACATGACCTTGAGTGGATACCTACCTTCAGCTCCTCCCAGGTGGACACTCTCATGGTGAAGAGCAAGAAGTCCCTCAAGTAGCACTGAACCAGCTCCTGCTGCTGCTCTCCGGGGAGCTTGGCAAGAAACATGCTCAGGGGAGTCTGCTGGAAGATTTCTACTAACTTATCTGACCGTCCTGCAGGGAGGAAGCCAGAGTGGCTTGAGACAATTGAAGCCACAAGCTGAGAGAASCTTGCTCCCCAGGAAGGAGAGCCATAGGCTAGAGCAGCCCCTGGGGGTGACTCAGAGACAAAGAGATATTGGTTGCCCCACGGGACTAGAGAGTGGTGGATGTATAGACTAGGGGACACAGAAAGGAAGGCAGGATCAACATTCAATTTAGGCCATGCTAGCCCCAACATGAAAAAACATCTGAGGGAGTCTGAGTTTTGTGCTGCACGTCTGTTAGGTGTAATGGGCTCCAGTAACCCTGGGTTCCCAGGGAATCAGGACTGAGTAGGCTACTCATCAGGGCTGGGGCCAGAGACTATGCCAACCAGGGAGATTTGCCTTCCAGCAGATGTGGATTGGCTCCCAGCTGCACACTCTGCTGAACCAGCAGGGTTGGGCAGGCATGGCCCCAGGTGAAGAAACACCCTCTCAGCAGGGAACAGACTGCTTCCCATTGGTTTAGGACATGCAGCAGAATACAGACCCAGGAAAACAAGTTCACTTTGAACATACTGGTTCTCTAAGTGAATGCTGAAAAGATGAGTCCATGTGTACATGAGAGATGACTTCCAAAAACACAGCCCTGCCACTGGCTTTTCTGGAATGACTATGGCCAAACTCAGCCCCCAGCAAGTGACAGCCAAGCACACACTCTCTAGCTTGTGTGACTCAGGATGGACGAACGGCTTAGGATGGAAGAAGGGGACACACTTTCATTGCTAGCATTTGCTGAGAAAGTTTAAAGGGGACCTTTCCTGGGTCTGAGCCTCAGGACGGGAATGGTCAACTTGCAGCAGGTAGCAAGCCCCGTCCCTGCTGGAACATGCTCCAGTTCACCAACCTGCTGGTCAGTGCACCACTAAATCACCTCACAGGCTCACTTGATGGTGTGACTTACAGGCTTCTGACCTCCTGATGACTCTCACTCCTTCAGCAGAAATTTCAAAATGAAGGCAGGACATGAACTTGAGCCTATTCCACATGCAAAGTGTGAAAACTACAAGTCCCAGAATTTACCAGGTGCTGGCTGCTGTCTGCCCACTGATGGTCAGGCAGTGTCTTTGTGGRTAAAGGCTGCTTCACYAGGRCTGCATCGGRCCCAYSTTGAGCAGGWCTCACCTTTTRCATCYRTGATGTACTGRGCCTGGACCCAGAGCTCTTCCACATAGTCCCTGATTCTCCAGCTGAAGGGGACACTGTTGCAAGCACCCTCRGGAAGGCTCATATAGTTCTGCACCAYGATGGAGGACATCTCACTCTTGGATCTGCAGTGAGGTGAGGTGAATGAGAGGTGAAGGTGCTGTGGGCCAGAGGTGGCTCCACGGTAGAGTGCTTGCCTGGCATGTGTMAGGCCCTGGGTTCCATCCCCTGCACCACATCAAAATAAAACAAGGCTGCAYAGACAGTTGCTGTCTCCTTTGATGGCCAGGACTCCTGCTGAACAAGAACTGGTGGGCTACCTCATAACCCCTGATAACAGATACAATGAAGCAGGCCACCTATGCAGGGCCTAGGAGGGGCCCAAAGCCTCAGGCAGAACCAGGTCTCCAGTGCCTGCGCCTGTCCCTCCCCTGCACCTTATTGGCCTACAGTCCAGAACTGAAGTCCCTGCAATCCGAACAGGAAACTTGGGAAGGCCCCGCACAAAATAGGGATGGTGAGTCTGGTCTGATCAGAAGCTCGAGGTTGCCACCTCTGTCGATGAGGGAGATCATGCATAATGGAGCATGAGCATGATTAAGGACATATTCTTTCCAAAGGGCAGTGTCCCCACTGCACACAGAGTCCAACCCGGCTTCCTGAGCTATCACAGGTGCCCTGAGAGAAGGAAATAAGGAGAGAGGAGATGCAACAAAGGCCTGCAGGATGCCATGGCCTCTAGGATGTAGAAGGAGCTGGCGAAACGTTCCTTGGAAAACAGAGCCTACGGTCTCAAGCCCAGGAGAGCTACTGAGGGTGCCGTGTGGATTTCATTCACCTTATGTTATTCATCACAAGCGGAATGTTCAGCAACTTAGTGTTACTAAAAATAAACATCCACAGGTCCCGGGCCCAGGCTGGTGAGTCTGGTCTGATCAGAAGCTCCAGGTTGCCATCTCTGTCGATGAGAGAGATCATGCTGGCCAGCAGAGGGGTGACTGCGCCTTGGACCCGCTTCCAAAGGGTATGCCTGCAGCAGGGTGGGACAGGGGACAGGGGACAGTGGCTCAGTATCACAGCCAGTGCTGATCTTGACACCTCCTTCCTCTGTGTCAACAAGCCATCTGGCTTACAAGCCAGGGCTGCAAATTGAAGTTTCTATCACTTTTAAGTACAAGAGACTCACAAATGCAATTGTCTTAAGATTAGTTAGCAGGACTGGATAGAACTTAATTCTACATCTAGTAACAGTAACTAGTGCCTTGAAAAGGTGAAGAAATATTTGCTGCATTTTTATATGATTTTTTTTCAGAACAAGCCTACTAGGTTCTATAAACAAATCAAATAAGGACCAACTTCACTAAAAAAAATTAAATAAAGATTTTAAGAAAAAAGTAGCTATAGATAAAATATAATAAAGATGAAGAGATCAAACTAAATTTGATACAAAGTTAARTAAAAAAAACATTTTTATCTAGAATTCGGCTTTTCTTATAGGTGTTTCTGTAACTAACCCTGAGTACTTTAGACTGACAGTGCTTAATTGGTTAAATTAACTACATCTAACGTTCATACTAAAATGATATATTTTTTACATAATGAAAAATGCTACAATTTCTCATGATAAAAGACAATAATTAATAAATATTTGTTTTGGGGGAAAAAAGTGCAGCCCTTTGTAGGGAAATTTTTTTTTCTGGATATATAGTACACAGGATTCTAGAGATAATTTAAAAACATCTACTGAGAAAAAAAAAAATCCCATAAGGCAAGGACAATGACCTTGACTTAAGACCCCAGACTAGAACACACACARTGGATGTGGGGGAGGTGGTGAAAGGGGCCCTGGGCCGGAGCAGCTGAGAGCCCTGAAAAGTGCTCCAGAGTAACAGTCACCGCAGAGGGTCTCCAAGAGACCAAATTTAAAACAACTTGAGAATCA